AGAGAGCAGCCACAGAGTTTCAGAAATTTATCTGTTACAAGACGAGAATCATGATGAGGATGTTTCTTAGGATTTTATTAATTCTGCCATAAGCAGAACAATTATATCTATAATTACTTCAGTATTTTCTTTACTTACATACATAATTCTCATACACCCATGTATGTATGTAAACACACACATAGTGTGCAATATTTAACTTACCTAAAAACATTATGAAATGTCAGAATTAACAGTATAAATAAATGGTGGGCAGACATAAGATGATGCATAGCTTTGACTCCAGTAGGTTGCCACCTCCCCGTGTGCTAGGAATAGCCAGATTGACTCTAACTCCTAAACCCTGAATCAGTACTTGAGTCCCTTAGCTTACTAAGCTCTGGAGCTCAATGGGTTAGTTTTGATGTGTAAACAAAATAATTAAAAACATATTAATAAAAAGAAAAGTAAAACTTTAATGTATATATACCATCCTAGGGACCTTGTAACCCAAAGCTAAGAACTACTGTAGTATTTATAGTCTCACAAAGGTACTTGAAATCTAGATTGAGCACCAATGAAGTATTTGAGACCCAGGCTGAAAAGCAATAAAATATTTGTAAGCTACACTAAGATCAAGTGAGGAATTCTAGCCTGAGCTAAGAATTATTTGGGCATTTGTAACTTGTAAACAAACGCAAAAATGCCATTGTGTCAATAAATCAAAATATCCTACCAACAGGGGCATTTGTCATTGCTATTGCTGTAATCAAAATTATTAAAAAAGGCACAGGGCAAAAACACAACATATTCCTTTTTTTTCAATATTTCTAGACAAATCAGGTACACTTGGAATTTGTTATGTTAAATAATAATAATAATAATAAAATAAAGTAACACTGTCTTGTGACACATGAAAACATTATTTAAATTACAAGCTTTACATAAGAAATATATGTTCTTAAGACATCAAATTACTGACAGAAAACATGACGACATTCAATTTCGGTTAGCAGACGACCTTCACCTAACCAATATCTATAAATTTTAATGTTGCAAACATGCCTGCAGATGTATTTTTAATTTTCTTTAATTAAGATTTGAATTATGGTAACACAATATTACAGATGAATATCAGGAACAAATATTCTTTCATAGTCTATACTCTTAAATAGTATCCAAGAAAAGAAATCTATTTCATTATCTTCCTCCAAGTGACTAATGCAGAGCCTGTCCTGTTCCAACACACCATTTCCACACAAAATTCATTATAAAACACCAAGGGAAGAGAAGGAAAACATGTACTTAATATCTTTTTATACACTGAATCTTTCTTGACAAACTGTAAAACCATCTTCCTCCCATTCTCTCTTTGTGACCAGCATCTCTGGAAAGTGTGCTGATCGGCTTATGGCAGCTCCTCCTCGCCAACTGTATGTTGTTGGGCTGCAAGACAGAACAGTCATGACAGGGTAGACACTTTATACCAAATTTTGTAAAGGTATATTGTGCATTATATATATATATATATATATATATATATATATATATATATATATATATATATATATATATGTATGTATAGTATGTATGTATGTATATATATATATATATATATATATATATATATATATATATATATATATATATATATATATATATATATGTATGTATATATATATATATATATATATATATATATATATATATATATATATATATATATATATATATATATATATATATATATATATATATATATATAAATACACACACACACACACACACACACACATATTACACACTACACATTACACATTTCAGTTAACAGTCAATATTGTACTGACACATTTAATATATACAAAATAGCCACAGCAATTACTCCTGTTATGCTAAATATTTTAGTGACTTACCCTTTGGCAAGTGTTACATTTACTTCAAATTCAGTCGGAGACATGGACCGTACATCCTTCAAGACTCGATCCTTAAACCCTTCGAAGTTACAATTGCCACCAGTTAAAAGTATGTTTCTGTGAAGGAAAAGTTTGAAAGTTTTATTAGAGAAAGAGGGAGGGGAGAAAGGGAGGGTGTGAAGGTGTGAGGGTGTGAAGGAGTGAGTGAGTGAGTGAGTGAGTGAGTGAGTGAGTGAGTGAGTGAGGGAGGGGGAGGGGGAGGGGGAGGGGGAGGGAGAGGAAGAGAGGGAGAGGGAGAGGGAGAGGGAGAGGGAGAGAGAGAGGGAGAGGGAGAGGAAGGGGGGAGGGAGAGAGAGAGAGAGAGAGAGAGAGAGAGAGAGAGAGAGAGAGAGAGAGAGAGAGAGAGAGAGAGAGAGAGAGAGAGAGAGAGAGAGAGAGAGAGAGAGAGAGACAAAGAGGGAGAGAGAGAGACAAAGAGGGAGAGAGAGAGACAAAGAGGGAGAGAGAGAGACAAAGAGGGAGAGAGAGAGAGACAAAGAGGGAGAGAAAGAGATATGATACAAAATCCATATATATACAAAAGAGAGACTAATATTTAACCATCAAAG